TTTTCTCTCTTTAGTTTAAATTAGTCAGAGGATGTTTGCTCATTGGCCTCTTTTATTTCTGTCCCTAATTTCTTTGGTTTAACTCCCCACCAACTCCCCCGTTAGGGGGTCAGTGACGTCAGTTCTTTGTTGGGTGCGGAACGCCTTTTATTTCGGGTGTGTTTTTTCGTATTTATTGTTGTGCCTGAATGGGTGCATGCTTGAGTGAGTTATTCGATGAATGAAAGTTTTTATATTATCAAAGTCCTGCATTATTTTCGTCCAGTTAATTGATGTTTTTGAGACTGTTGGGTTTTTTTATTACTAACATTATTTTGTTTAGTTTCTTGTAAATAGTTTGTAAATCTGTGTAAATAACCATTTCGAGCAAATTTTTAAATTTGTTGTTATATTCTCCTTCCCCAACAGACAATTATTTGTACATATGGGGGTCTAATTAGGAATTTCATAGAGACAATGTGGTATTATTGTGGTTGTAGTAGAAAAGACAAGTATGAATACGTTGTTTTGGTGTAAGGAAAATTGTTGTCTGTTTAGGTCAGGGTTTGTGGCTAGCTAATTTTAAAGTTTTCGTCTAACAGGAAACAGTCTGTCTTTTCTGAATGTTGACTACACTGTTAACTTATATATTTGTATACGTATATATAATATATATATATATATATATATATATATATATATATATATATATTTATATATATATATATATATATATGCACATATATACATATATATACATATATATGTATACATACATATATATTATATATATATATATATATATATATATATACATAAATATACATACATACATATATATATATATATATATATATATATATATATATATATATATATATATATATATATATATATATTAGGGTAGGTCGGTTTTACACTTTTTTTTCTAAAATCAACTTTGGCCAAGTCTAGATAGTTGGGGCTTAATGGGATAAAATCTCACACCAAATTTTACATTTCTAGCTTTAAACCCCTTTTGAGGAAATGCAGTCAAAACTTGGCATTGAAAATTCGTTTAAAATACAATCATTTTGGCAATATCTGTTTGAAAATGCTATTATTTCAACAGGAAATCAAAATAGTTTACTATTTTATTAAATAAATCTTATATTACATGAAAACTAATTAAATCCAAATATTTATATAATCATATCATCAAAAGTTTCAGTGTAAGAACTTTTAGAATCAAAGGAAGGTCTTAGTTGACAACATAAGATTTCTGCAAGAATGTGTCTATGCATTGCTTCAAATTCGTAAAGAGGAGAAGCTTCAATTGTTAATTTCACTGCTCTTTCAGCATTGAGAATGTGAAGAAAAATCAAGCAACTTTAATTTCGATTTACTTATAACGCATGAATTTCATTTTGTTAAATTTTTTCAGTGCTTGCAGGTTCACAAATTCTATATTGGTATAGATTGATTAATTCTGACCAATGCAAGGTTTCAAGATTGATGGCTAATATTTTAGTCAACCTTTTCTTCCCACTTCTTAAATATTTGAAAATCAATTTCTATTTAATTAAACAACCCATGTCTATTATATTCTATCTTTTAATGAATGGAACTTAAAATTTATCCTTTGAATTCAGATAAATTAGTCTATTTCCGTATGTTTACGTACCTAATGGAAAAGGGTTTTCCAACCACTACTTTTCTCACTTCAAATTCATGACTTCATCATCAAATATAACGCATTCTCAGGTAATTGATCAAAAGCAATATATTGAATATTCTCGAATACGACATTTTGAATTTCTTCAGACTGTTTCTTAATCCTTTCCATCATAAGGAATATATACAGCTGTTGGTTATCCAATTTGCTAATCCCCCTTAATCTCAAAGCAGTTAACTGCATACACTTTACATATTATTATTATACAAGTTGGTGAAACTTGTCATGAACTTCTGAATGGTATGTAACTCTGGTCCGCATACACATTAACCTGGTTGCTAAAGTTATCCATCTTGCATTACTTAATGGTTCAATTTCCCAGGCAGTAAATGTAGTTAACTTTACCTTTGGAAATCATTAGGGTATATTCCAAAAGGAGCCTTTGATCTTTACTTAAAATCACCATTTTCCTAAAGCTGCTATATTATGAAGCGTGCCACTGATTTTCATAAATTCTACTCGAGGAAAATCATGATAGTCCCTTTCCCACAATTTGCCTAGTGAACCTGTAAAAGCCTCCAGGCTTCTTGTTGTACTACACTTGTTGGAACTACACTGATTCAGGTATTTTCCAGTCTCAGTTCCTGTCTTTTGAGTAAATTTTAAATGGTGTTCCGGGCCCTTCTCTTTTTTTAGTTTAATGTCGCCATTTCCCCCCTATAGACAACAAAGCTTCTTTTTTAATTTTGCCATTAACTCCTCTTAAACAGATAAACTTTTAATGCATTGAGTGTGTTTCTGTTATGGGGTCCGAATTTTGATGTTAGGCGAACCCCACAAACATTAAAATTGATGAAGTGACACAAGTCAAAGCAAGGATAACAAGAACAAAGAGTTTATATGCCAAAGTTTTTATTGCCAGAAAAATAGAATCGAAGAATTCAGATGTTTTAAATATCCTGGGGATGGTGCTGGTAGCTAACTCTTGGCCTTAGATGCATCAATAGCTGATGTTGACCGAAGTGTGATTGACAGTTGATGTATTGGAATGGTTCTAGCTGGTAGTAGTAGCTCAGAGCAAACTGTTGTTGGTAACCAAAAGATGAAGACGAAACCGCTTAGGAGGAGTCGAAGGGCGATAGGCAGTTACAGAAGATCGACGGACAGTCAGCGTGTTGAGCTGGTACTAGCAGGCAGTCTACTATGGTTATCTCGAAATGATTGGCAGCAGGGAGTTTCCAAATTTCTGGTTGTGTGAATTGCGTCATTGTGATCTTTTTCTAATAAACAGTGCCTAACGACCCTACTATAACGTGCAGTCGCTAAAATCATAAACAAACAACGCGCATGCACAAAATTAAAAACATAATATGGCGATAATTTACACATCGATCCTGTATATGTATACAGATACACCCTTTAAACGTTATTATTAGTGAATACTCGTATTCGGGTTGGTGTTCTACTCATATATTAAACTGTATATTTACTTATTTTCACCTGCCTGCCGTCCTTATTATTCGAGTGATCTTATTTATATATATATATATATATATATATATATATATATATATATATATATATATATATATATATATATGAAGAAATATAGTTTTAAGGTGTTATTTATGGGATAAAGTGCTCAATATCAGATCTAGAGCATATGCAAATATAAATATAAAAGAGAACATTGAAGTCAACACTCAGAGTCGACAGGCAGTTTAATGCTGGACGCAATCGTCGGCCTGACGATTGCGTTCAGCAGGAAACAGCCTCTTTATTGACTATATATATATATATATATATATATATATATATATATATATATATATATATATATATGTATGTATGTATATCAGGTCATCCCATAAGTTCTGTCCAAATTTTAACTTTTTGTTAAAATGAACCAAATTTAAAGAGTATTTTATAATGTCTAATTGATCTGAACATTATTTTTATGTTTAAATGCATTTAAACTGATCAAATGTTATTTCAGAGAACAATAAAATTAAATTTTGTTTGATTAAAACCCTGCTAACATGGAAGTACCCAAGAATCATTTGAGGTACATAATGCTTTATGAGTTCAAGAAAGGAAACTCAGCAGCCGAAGTGGCTAGAAACATTCAATCAGTTTATGGAGAGGAATGTGTGAATGAAAGAACTTGCAGAAGATGGCTTGCAAAATTCAGAGGTGGAGATTTCACACTTGAAGATGAAGATCGAACCGGACGTCCACTTGAGTTTGATGAAAAGCTTCTTGAAGCAGCCCTTGAAGAAAATCCTGCTTTATCAGTTGAGGAATTGGCAGTGGTTCTCAGTTCAAACCATACAACTGTTCATTGTCATCTTCAACAACTTGGAAAAGTTCCTAAACTTGGAAAATTGGTGCCTCATGAATTGTTTGAAAACAAACTCAAATCCCGAGTTGACATCTGCTCTTCTCTCCATTCTCGCCAAGTTGTTTCACCTTTTTTGGATAGACTTGTGACTGGCGACGAAAAATGGATCTTTTATCGAAATGTTAAGCGTCGTAGACAGTGGCTTAGTAAAGGGGAAGGACCCCAGCCACAGCCAAGAAGGAAACTTCATGGGCAAAAGGTTCTTCTTTCAATCTGGTGGGATCGCCAAGGAATAATCCACTTTGAATTCTTACCACCTAATGCAACAATTAATGCTCAAATATACTGTCAGCAATTAGAGCTCTAGGGAATCGAAAAGAAGTGATGTTTCATCAGGACATTGCGCGACCCCACATAGCAAGAATCCCGTCACAAAAGATCGAAGAACTTGGTTGGGAGAAAATTCCTCATCCACCTTATTCTCCCAATCTTGCTCCTTCAGACTACCATTTGTTTCGTAGCTTACAGAATCATTTGGAAGAAATAGCTTTTGTAACACAGGAAGAGGTTAAAACTGACATTTGTGAGTTCTTCGAATGAAAGCCAAAAGAATTTTTCAGTAATGGAAGTCATAGATAATCAGGGAAAATACATTGCTGACTCACAGGCAGAATTTAAGAGAAACAGAGGAAAGTAGTACACAACCCACCTGGTCAGTTTGTATAAATTGATGGACGAGCAGGGTTTACGATAGATAGCAAAAAGGCGAAAGTTATTAAGTGCTACAACATACAGAAAATTATGGAGAGCCAATGTCCCAAAGAGGCACGGCATAGAATAAAAAAAAAACATGTATAAACAAAATCATTCTTTATGCCAATAAATATATTTCCTGGTGAATATACAAGGGACAGGAAAGTGCTATGATCCCTAACACTTTCTTGCTTAATTATTCTAGGCTTTCCAGTAATGTTTTCTTCTATCGTTTTGTTCTCCATATCACTTTGTATTTATTTGTCGGTCGACGTACGAACGCATTCCGGAAAACTCCCATAACCGCCTGAAAACAGAAATGACAATAAATGTTAGGAGTACAGGAAATATTGTAAATCGACATAAGTTAAAGCTTATTAGAAACATATTTATCTTTAACAGTATTTTCTAAAGACAAGGTCAACTAAAGAATTAATTTAAAGAAACTAATGGGAAATTTTTTGAACATAAGTAATTTTTATTGCAAAAATTCTCAGATAGATATATAGACAGACAGAGTATTTTTTTAGCCTTTTTTACGCGTGAAAGGGGCTATTATATTTGTATTGTCAGTATAGGGTTGAATGTATTAATTGAACTAAATGTTCATATATATATATATATATATATATATATATATATATATATATATATATATATATATATATATAATGTCATTCGCAGACAGCACTGTTTCTCCTCAGTGCGACTAGACATCCGAATGCCTCAAGCCAAGATCGAAACCTAACTGATTTGGTATCACAGTTTCTACTACTGAGCTATCTTCATTCATCAGAGTAAAACAGCTAAATCAAGCGTATTGTTTTTACGAATGTAAACGAATGGCAAACAGCCGGAGTGCTCTCTCTCCCTCCCTCCCTCTCTCTCTCTCTCTCTCTCTCGCTCTCTCTATCTCTCACCATATATATTTATATATATATATACATATTGATATATATATATATATATATAATTATAGATAACTAGACTCGTTTCGAAAAACCCTCGAATTTTTGATTTGCTCATAATCAAATCAATCTCGAGGGAAAAAAGGTTTAAAAAAAAAAAGAAAGAGCTACAAACATGAACTTCTGCCGACAAAAAATCGCACAGATGCAGGTCTGAAGCCCAAAGAAAAAACCCCGATACGAGTAAACAACTAACTAACAAAAGCGCTCAATACAACCGTAGAGCAGACCTAGATACACCTAGTGAGCCAGACAAACCTATTTAGGGTTTCACCTAAACGTATCGTCAGGAAAGTAAGGCGATCCGTTTTAGGTGAAACCTAAAGGTATGTTTGTTTGCTCCACTATACATACATATATATATATATATATATATATATAAGTAATTCATCGAGTCTGAATGAAACCTCAACAGAATGCAGAATGAACTGGACGGCCGTTTCGTCCTATATTTGGAACTCATCATCAGTACGCATCCACTACCGAGAATTGAAACCCGGACAATTAGGTTGTCAAGCAAACATCATACCAATTGGGACTCATCAGCTGTCCGCATCCACTACCGAGAATTGAAACCCTCGATTTAGACTCGATGAATTACTTAAATAAATATATATAATATATATATATATATATATATATATATATATATATATATAGAGAGAGAGAGAGAGAGAGAGAGAGAGAGCACTCCGGCTGATTGGCATTTGTTTACATTCGTACAAACAATACGCTTGATTTAGCTGTTTCACTCTGATGAATATTAATGAAAACTTAAAAATTTATGATGTGAACCCTTACATTTACACTCTATATTTTCGTTTTACATGGTTTCCAGTGTATATAATTTTTGTGCACATGTAAAAATAAAAATGATACTAGTTCCTTTTTTGGTAAGCTATGTATACTGCAGTCAAACAATAGATCCAATTGTGTACGCAAAAGTGTTTATTTAGAGATTAAAAATTTCAAAAATATATATACAAAGATCAAAAGAACATCCTGGAGCCTTAAACAATAGCATAGTTGATGGAGAAGGCCACAAAAAGCTATGAAAACGATTTGGATTGCACTACTCCACTATGCAACAATTTCTTCATAAATGGAAGGCGTTTGGTATAACGGCATCAAAATTAAGAAGTGGTCGTTCGCGAAAAATAACTTCAAGAGAAAGTAGACATCTAATTCAGCAGATCCTGTTGTGACCTTTGTGATTCTCCAGTGCTCACTGGCCAATGTCAGAATCAATGTGCATATGTTTAAAGTGCGACGAAATCTGAACAATGTCGATTTTCATAGCAGAATGCCTAGAAAAAGGCCACTGCTTACGAAATAGCACAAGCATACTTACGTCAACTAGACCAAAGCTCATATTAATAAGCTAGAAACATTCTGTTAAATCGTTTTATGGTCCGATGAGAGATTTTTGGGAGGAAAAATAGGTGGTATATCTGGTGGGTTCCTTTTGAAGAGAAGAATTTGCTACCAACCATTAAACATGGCGGTGACAGTATGATGATTTAAGGGCCCTTTGCTGCAGCTGGGACAGGCAAAAGAGTACACACTGACGGCACATTGAATACTGCAAGATACTAAGCAATTTTGAACAAAGGTGTCTTGTCCTCAGTTCAAATTTGGGTTTAGATCGGGGTTGGAACTTCTAACAGGACAATGATCTGAGGTATCAAAGCAAATCCACAAATTAATGGGTCCATAAAAAGAATTGGAATGGCCTAGTCAAAGTCCTGATCTAAACCCAATTGAAAATCACCCAAGTCAAAGAAGGCATTACATGCAAGAAACCCAGGTAACATCGACCAATTGTGACAGTTTTGCCAATAAGAATGGTCAAAATCGGCGTTCACTACTGCTAGAAACTATTTATTTAAATAGACTGGATGACTCTAACGTCAAAAGGAGCAGTCACCAAATTCAATTAAATGTAAGTGTTCGCTTACTTTTGCATATCTTAATTCTTAATTAATATTTTTTATTCCAGCTTGATGAAAATTTTCGAATGTGATTGTAATTAATTTAATAAAGTTTATTCCTAATGAATACATAGTTCAATTAATATTTGTTGATCATCTGGAATAAAAAAGATATTTTTTAAAATTATCTTGATGTTCACTTACTTTTGCGCATCACTGCATGCATGTATGTATATATATATATATATATATATATATATATATATATATATATATATATGTGTGTGTGTGTGTGTGTGTGTGTGTGTGTGTGTATGACTTTATACACGTTTTTATAAACTTAATATATTTAAGTTCCAGAACAATCATGCAGACGATGAAAACAATCAATCTGCCCCCTTAAACAACATGCCCTGCCATACAGAAAAATATGAATTAACTGGATTAATTAATATTTTTTACTTACTTGAAGGACAAGTGTTTCGTCTGGATTTACAAGCACCACCTGAAAAAGATAGATAGATAGATAGATAGATAGATAGATAGATAGATAGATAGATAGATAGATAGATAGATATGAAAGGCATGGGATAGATAGATAGATAGATAGATAGATAGATAGATAGATAGATAGATAGATAGATAGATAGATAGATATGAAAGGAATGGGATAGATAGATAGATAGATAGATAGATAGATAGATATGAAAGGAATGGGATAGATAGATAGATAGATAGATAGATAGATAGATAGATAGATAGATAGATAGATAGATAGATAGATAACAAAATGATTGAGATAGATAGATAGATAGATAGATAGATAGATAGATAGATATAAAAAGGAATGAGATAGATAGATAGATAGATAGATAGATAGAACGCTTGTATACAACTGACAGCCTAGATATCTTTTGGCGCCATTCATGATATCCATAGATAAGTCTCTATCTGGCGAGGTTATAAGATGATTTTAGATAAATAATTAAATATTTCAGCACCCACTCTGACACCACGCTACAGATCTTTCTTTATGCTGACAGTTTGTTGGTGTGTGTGTGTGTGTGTTTTTTTAATCGAATTTACCCCCAAGTAAAGCTACAAGGGGTTACGGGGTGTGAAAAAATTAGAAAACAGAAATATTAACCCGAAAGTCTCGGTCCCCTCCCCACCACGAAATCCGATTTGCAGCCACGGTTTCACAGGTTAATATAAGCTTGAATATCAAAGTTAAGAATAATAATAAGACATCATCTTACTTATTATAAAACGCAGATTGTGTGTGTGTGTGTGTCTGTACGTTTATATATTAGATTGGATTTTCTACATTTTTCAACTGATTTCAACAAAACTTCTCAGGACTGTGTAAAATTACCTTGCGGTGGTTCTGACAGTGCCCAATATTGGAAAAACACAATTGTTTTTGTATGAAATCAATTTGAAAACACGATAAAACACGATTCTGTCGCCAGAATGAAAGGGGACAACTCATATCGAGTTATACTTATTATAAAACCCAGGTTGTTTTGTGTGTGTGTTCATTTTTATATGGGATCGGATTTCTACATTTTTTCAATCGATTTCAACAAAACTTCACTTTTTTTTTTTTGGCAGGTAGTGTTTCTTATTGTCTTGCACACTTTTTTCTTTATTTTTACATTCAGAATGCTTTAAAAATTCCATTTACAAGACAATTGTTTATAATAAAATTCTATTCAATCGGTAGATTCATAACGATTCAAAACGATGTTTTTGTTTGAATTTGGGTTTGACTAATTCGTAAAAAAAAAAAAAAAAAAAAAAAAAAACTAATTAAGACATGCGTGTCCGTCAACCTTAAACAATAATCTTTGTCAATTTTATTTTTCAGTCTATATGATGGTGGATACTTGATCTATTTCTTATTGTTACATCCCCGGGCAACGCCGGGCTCCACTGCTAGTTGAGTATAAAAGCTGATCCATTGTGGATGTGCGCAAACAATAATGGTTAAGCTAGTAAATAGGTACAAACATATATATCTGTATGGATGGTGTTATGGATAGCAGCTCAGAATGAGAAAACGGGGATCAGAGTTAGAATTAAAGTCGAGTTCCTTAAGAAACATGATTCCATCTTTTACACCCAGCTATGGGCAAATAGCAGAGACTATGGGCCTTTTTTAACAACCAGTGTAGGTGAAGAAAAACTGAATTCGAACCAGCCTAAAGAAGGTTAGGGCTCCTTTGTGCTATATTGCCCTAGACACACCACTGTTACTATGGCTACAGTACATGTGATACCCCTACAACACTAATAGGTTACGGGACTCATAACCGTAACCCCACCTTGTTTACAGTAGAAAAAATACAATGGCTATCGAACACGCGGCACGAATAAAATACTCCGTATCACGAGCTTGCTAAGCACTGAACCTTATCGTAGCCCTTAGCTACTCCGTCCATGTGACCAAGGACAGATGTTATATATCTTCATGACCTTGACATTTTTCTTCATTGCATTGCCGCATACCCTTCAATTTAACATAGCAAGTTAATTTAGATTCATAATAAACCTAGGCTTTTTAGTTGTTTCTGTGTTACTAACCTAATCTGAATAGGCTTTGTGTACATTTTTATACTTTTTTATATTTCGTAGCACCTCTGATTATATTTTTCTTGAGATTTTTAGCACTTTGAAGGACCATTTAATGTTTACACGCCTTTATTATATAACACGATGACTTCTCACCGGACTAGGAAAAACGTGGAGGAGGAGAAACGCAAGTCCTTGACCAGTGAGGCCAGGGTACCTGGACGGGTTATGTATTGAGTTACTGCCCATTTATTTTGTCTGTCAACTGGATGCTACTTGGACCTTCCTATACATTTTTTTCTTATTTCTGGCTCTCTTATCTTCTGTCATTTCAGCCTTTACTACGTCGGCTATCACAGACCCTTACTTCCGGCTACCATAAACCTTTAACTTCTGGCTTTTATTATTTCTGGCTACACCTACTTCTGACATCACTATCTCCACTTAATTCACTTGGTTGATCAGTACTTACAAAAGTCCTGAACTTCCGGCTACACTAGGTCCCTGCTTCAGTCAACTTAACAGGTTTACGTAATTGCTGCATGTATATCATCCAGACTCAGATAACCTTCTCCGTTCACTTCGGCTAAAATACTACGAAAGCTTCATCACTGGACTTAACCAGCAACTTTTCAACACTTACGCCGGACATGTGAACTAAACTTTCGAACTGGGGACTTACATGTAAATTTAACCTACAATATTTTAACCTACTTTTAACATTTAGTCACAGATATATTATCTAGATCTTCTAGCCGGTCAATATTCCTCAATTTACTTAATTCTGCCGCCTTTGCTCGATTCATTGTTTGCTTGTGGTCCTTATTCTAAACACGTTCTTTGTATGTGATTTAACTAAATTTTGTATTAATTTTAAGATTTTCGTCCTCTTGTTGAATTGTTAAATTCACGTCTTTAACTTCTAAAATGTTAGTGGACGTCTTGAGACTAATTTGGGGTGTACAGGCCATATTATATCGCGCCCCCTTCAGAGTGTCCGTTACAACCTAGATAAACTATATTGTTTATTACTAGCCAAATCTATGCTTGTTATGCACCGTCCATTTTCACTGTATATGCGTGCGTGTGAATTGTAACAGCTTTATCTTTTCGCTGTGACAAGATTTTTGTCCACGACTTAAATGAATGATCAAACCGATTTGAACACATTGCAACATTTAAATCTTGGCGATATTAGTCGATAAGCACACAAACTTACACCTGTGCTATGCAAAGTCAACATGTCAGTACATGTTTAATTTTTTTTTTCATAAAATGACTTAAAATACTGAAATTTTAAATCGCTAAATTAATACGATCTCTTTTCGTAAATGTCCCTTGCAATATTATTGTGGCCATAAAAATTCATAATTTTCTTAATAAAACTTCGTTTTCTGTGGGCTGGGTTACGTAATGAGAAGTCGGAGAGAAAGTGTTCGAATTTAAGTCTAGTTCTTTGCATTCACATGTACGCAAATACCCTTGGAAAAGGCATGAATCATCTATTCCCCCTGCAGCTATGGCTTAAATTGTAAGACTTGTATCAGGAAAAATCATTGTTATTTTAAAAAATTGTTAATGCAATATTCACTAGAAAAAAATCGTAATAATTATGCTTATCTTTAGTCTGCACGATAGTTACCTTATAAGTAATGGACTATATGCCGTTCTTACCGCATGAAAACACGGAACTGACATATCAGAGAAGTTATTTCGTTTCAGTAAGAAAATGAAAGAAAGAAAGAAAGAAAGAGAGAGAGAAAAAAGAAAGAAAGAAAGAAAGAAAGAAAGAAAGAAAGAAAGAACAGTTTCCGTGAAAAGGAAAATGTTATCAATTTCAAATAATTTTATGTATCCACCATTTAATTATTATTAGTTAGTAATAAAAATGTTTGCAAGACAGGATTTCGGTGACTAAAAAGACATATTACAATCTAAAAAATATGTTTCAGATTTAAATAATAATAAAAAAAAATTTATAAGCCTTAAAAAACAAATCGATCAAAAATAATCATTTTTTTTCATGTATTGCTGTCAAAACTGCTCATAATAAACAGAGAAAATTAACCACATAATGGACAAAGCGTGTGAAAAACCAGAGATTTTTAAGCGGTATAGGAACTACATGATATTATCGCTAACAACCAGAAAGAGATAGCTTAAACGTAAATACTACATAAGGAGGAAAGAAAACTTGCAGAATTGAATACTCACGGTGTATTTTAAAGGCAGGCGAAGCAGTGACAAAGAGAAAGTCTCTTTTTTAACGAGTTTGATTAAAGGAATAGCTGAGCAATGACCATGATAGGGCAATAATTAATTAGAATAACAAAGGAGAGGAAGTTGGGGTGAGATTTGATCTCCCATGTCCTAAAAGCACATCACACGAAGACGAAAATCATATTAAGGAAAACGTTTTAAATGTTAGCCCACACAAGCAAAAAAAAATCGTTAGAATTATGGATGAGTAATTAATTAAAATAATTAAAATTTTCATTCGATGCTTGCTTCATTAAGTATGAACCTATCTTGCATATTTACAAGTGTATCATCCATCACATGCATTGAGCATTGCTGCTACATCTGGTCTGATATTTCGTACATTTATCTAAACGTTTGCTATCAAGGCGTTTCAATTCTAGAAACGAGGTGCTTATTAGCGAAATATATCACTATTAGTCAACGAATATATATGTACGTACCTCTCAGCTGCACAACATCCACTGAAAAGAGAAATTTCATGATGTGTCAGAATCAGCTCATTAAAATTATACAAGAAAATATTTGCAATATCTTATATTATATTCCTAGTTTGCAGGGTGCGATGGATAAATTGTCGTCTAGATGACGCTCGCGAGCGCGCGCGCACACACACACACAAAAGGGAAAACACTGACATCTCATTTTAATAGATATATTTACCAAAATTACACAAAAATATCTTGAAATACTAAAGAGTAAGTTTATCCAATAAAATTGCTATTGGCTTCAACCACGGCCTCCAGACGACTTCGGAATCTCCTGTAGCTCTTCTGGACGGTCTCCTTGTTTAAGTTGGTGAATACTACCATAATCCTTGCCTTCAGTTCATCTTTAATGTTACAAGGAGTTTTGTTGGTCACTTGCCCAACTGCGCCTCACACTTAATAATCAATACCGCTACAGACTGGGGAGTTAGGTGGCCAGGTGTAAGGCGTGATGTGATCGCAGAAATTATCTGACAGCGTCCGTGTATGGCATGATGCAGAGTCTTGTTACCAGGCATACGATCTTCCAGCAGCCACTCTCTTGAACAGAGCAGCGATACCCCCTCAATGTACTTGATATAGACATCCGTCTCGAATCTGAGAGCCTCACCAACAAATTCGGGTGTTCTTTTCTTATAAGAAAGATCAGAGTGAGCTGCCGTATCTAAGTAATTACTATTAGACTCATCCAACTCTTTCTGAATTTTTCACTGTCCTCAGATTGACACGCAAACACTGAGATGTAAGGTATGCCGTTTCCAAATTTCTGTTGGCGGGAATTCCGTCATGGTGCTCTTTGACTCACGGTGCCAAACGGGCCCTATTATACTGAGCAATCGACAAAATCAAAAACAAAAAACGCGCATGTGCGAAATTTAAAATATAATATGGCGACAGTTTACTCATCGCACCCCATATATATATATATATATATATATATATATATATATATATATATATATGGTTATAATTTATTACACTGGAATCGTAATCACGATCCAATTCATCAGACCTACAAATTCAAAAAGATATCGGAAAATATAACACTGGGTATAAAAAATAAAATTTTAGTGAGAATGTATGTGTGGAAGTGGGAGACAAGTGTGAGAAAGAAATGAAAGCTCTAGAGAGGATTAACAGAAGAAAGAAGAACAAGAAGGCCTAAAGGTGAAGGTGGGGATTAAAACTTAACAGAGAGAAGCTTTAAAGAGAGGAGTTAAATAACGGTTTAAATGAGTGACATGCAGATAAATATGAATTATTTTTCGATGCATAATTCGCTACCGTGGATCGTGATTACGATTCCAATGCAATAAATTATATCCATGGAATATTAGTATTTGAGCCTTTTTATTATATTCTTGCTTTGTTGTGGACTCTGAGTTCTACCTGAATTTATATATATATATATATATATATATATATATATATATATATATATATGTGTGTGTGTGTGTGTGTGTGTGTATGTGTGTGTGTGTTGACCACTAATATTATATATATATTATATATATATATATATATATATATATATATATATATATATATAACGTTATTATTAATTAATTATATTTAAACGTTTTTTTTTAGTTTTTTTTCAAGTTACAATTTTGCTAAGTCAATTTTTATCAGATATATCAGAAATCTTCTTTCTATATTTCTATAAAATGACTTAAAATAGTGAAATTTTCAATCGCTAAATCAATATGATCAATTGTTGCATTACTATCGTGGCAAATAAGAATTCATAATTTTGTTAATAAAAATTGTTTTTAAGCATCTTTATCCGTTTTAACGTATCACTTAATGATAGGGAAATAATTTTTACTTTTTAAAATCATAAATGAGATATTTTAGATCTTGATCGACTTTGTCCAAGGTTTGGCAGAGATATTGCTAATTTTCAATTCTCACCAATATATATATATATATATATATATATATATATATATATATATATTATGAAATAGACAGAGTCCGACAATTATTTTGACATTTTATGTTTATACATTCTTTTGATAGATAAAATATTTAAGTAAATGCTCTGTTTATAATAAACAGTATTAAACAACATTTATCGGCGTGAATATCCTAGAAATTTTCATAGAACCTGTATCCTATACGTGCCTTTCAACCGATTCGGCCAAATTTGTTTACATTTGATATGCCATGAGTAGATATGAATGTACGTGAGAGATTCATGGATGGTTGAAGTTTAAAAGCAGTAAATTCGACCTTGCTAACCGAACGCTCCTTTGTGGCCGAATCGGTTAAATGGCACGTTAGGCTATATGATGGTTCACAAGGCATATGAAGAAGTGTTAACGAAATATGAATTTAAAAAAAAAGAATAGTTACTTTGCTGCTTGTCAGTGCATTCCACTGAAAAATAAAATAAAATAAAATTATAATCTGTATCTTTCAATTATTTCTTTTGGTTGTTCAAAAAAAGATGACTGCTATTTTTTGCAGGGTTTGGCTGGAAAGTTCTCGGTCCGACCAAGGAGTGATTCCAAAAATGATTCTGATGTTTGATAATTTACTTAAATTATTTATATTTGAACTGTTACCATTATCCTTGTTGCGGTGGCAAAATGAGGGCGATGATCCGAATATAAATAGTGTAAATAATTATAACTCCTCATCCCATAAATTTGATCCTTTTGTTTCATTATGGGAAGTATGTCGGGTCAAGAACTTTTCACCACTCCCTCAAAATAATAAGAAGACTAATAAGAAGATTAATAAGAAGAAAATAAGAAGAAGGTTAGAGATTTAGGTCTATGCAGCTACTTAACTCACTAATAAAGGAAAGAGTGATGGATTCACACCTTTCACAAGGGCGTTAGTGTGACAACGAACACAACAGACTAAGGCGGAAACCGTTAGAGTATCCGTGCATATAATTTATATATCAATATAAATCTAAATAACATAGCAATTAAATAATGTAAGAGAATTTCATTAGGACGAGAAGCGAAAGCAACAATCACTCTATATCCAGAAAATTTGATCTTACGACACAAAAGCATATCTCCAATAGTCTTACTTTTCAAATTTTATTTTCATATTCCTCTCAAATAAGCACTGAAGGTCAGGATAGGTACAAACAAGAATATTAACCGAGTTCATACTTCCTTCTGTTTTTTTTTTTTTTTGTTTTTGTTTTTTCAGAGATTAAAATAATTGTGCTGGTGTTTTTTGAATTGTTATGTCCTGTATCTTAGCATCCTTTAATTTCAATTTTATTTTATTTCCTTTGATTTCTGGTGTATACTCATTTCTTTCTGGGTCCCAAGCAGACACCTAAGGCCAGAAATGGCATCATAACACTTTCCACTGAACATCTTTTGAAAAACAAAACAACCTAAGATCACATATATTTTACATAGATAAATGGTGTTGGTTGTATTTGTAGGTACAACATTTGCATTTCTTTATGGCTTGGGCTACCAGGAATCTCTTCAATGGGTCTATTAGAACCTTTTCCCATTAATCCGAGAGCTCCATCTACAACTCGAATTACCGATGTCCTCATGTGCGACATTTTTGAGATTTCCATTTCAAGGTCCTTGTATTTTAATAGTTTTTTTTTTTTTTTTTAATCTCCAAAAATACATTACAGTCCGCGGGGACTGCCATGTCGATAAAAAAGCACATTTTGTTTTTGCGGTCTCTGATCTCGTCTGGAAGATTAGCTTTGATTGTTCTTTCTGTGTCTATTTTAAATCCACATGATTATTATCATTATTATTGTTGTTGTTGTTTTTGTTGTTGTTATTGTTGTTATCGTTGTTACTGTTGTTGCTGTGTGGCACCATCTTGCCAGAGAACAATTTAATAATTTTAATCATAAAGTCCCCCAGGGATCTATGAGTAAAAAGGTTACTTTAGAAGGGTTATCTATGCATATTTGGGACTTTTCGTTTAGATGTAGAGAGTTTTGTGGTTGATATGTGCAGTTCCGCTCAAAATAATCTTTTGTGGCGCTGAGATGCTGATGCGTCCAGGAATTTTGCTCATATGATTTTCGGTACTCTTTTTATCGTACTCAATGCCCTTATAACAAAAGGGATAATCGTGGTTTTACCTTTCCACATTTTTGTTACTTCGATTTGCAGGTCCTTACAATTTGAAAGTTTTTGAAATTGTATTCTTATGAACATTGGAATTCTGTATGAAATTCCAATCAATTAATTAATTTTTTTTTTAATGATCTATGACATTATCCAGTCTATTTGCATCAATTTTCTTGTCTGTGAGGATTGGGAAATTCCACAGTATTTCTCCCCAGAAGCATTTACTATGAAAAAAATAACTAAGATCACGCATTTTGCATAAATAAAGCCATTCATAACGAGTACTTGTGAGTACAATTTTTTGAATTTCTTTAAGGCATGGGCTACCATGAATCCCTTCAATGAATTTATTGGTAAATTTTCCAATCAATCCGACTGCGATTTTTGATGTCATAAGAGTGACTCATTGCGCCTTCACGGGGTTAGATTTTCGGCTGACATGAAGTAGAAAGACTATATTGAATCCATTTCTAGGTCTGCTATGTCGTACTAAACAATTTTTCTCTTATGAATCTATCTTACATATTTATAAATCAACCATCGTCCTTACTTTAAATATTACTGCGACATATGTCCCGTTGCTCCTGCTTTATATTTAGAGGTTCTTGATAAAATCCAAAGAAAAATCAGCAGTATTATTGGTCCTGAGCTGGCATCTCGGCTTCTGTCACTTCCCCACAGCTATAATGTAGCCCCCCTGTGCTTTTTTCTATAAATACTTTCATTGCAATTGTTGAAATGAACTCTTCGCTATGGTTCGGAGGCTTTATGTATTTAAACGCAGTATTAGATTGGTGGCAATTGTTTCATAAATTGAATTGGCTAGATGTAACGGTAAATTCTGTATTAACAGTTTCTTTTATCGCACTTCTCACTTGTGGGACACTCTTCCGGCACCATGCTTTCCAACCAACATTGTCCTTCAAAAATTTAAATGCAATGCTAATAGTTATCTACTGTCTTCTTGATTACTATTCTTTTATTGTCCTTTTTTTAATATTTTTTCTCATATTCTTTCAGACTCAGTAACCCCTTGTGTCTTTACGGCCTTGCATTGGGTGATATGATTTTAAAAAATAAATAATTATGCTGAAACCGTTGAAACGTTGGAATTTTAAACTTTTAAATTTATTTTTTTTCAAATATGTTTCGGTATATAATCTAATTTAATTTAGTTTCTTTATGCTTTTGTTATTAAATGCTCCACACTGTGATAATAGAGTTATATAGGAATAAAGTGTCGTTGCTGACACTTGAGTTTGAACATAGATCGCCAGTGAGCAAACACAGGCGATCCCATTGATGAATTAAGTGAACCACGTGACCATAGAGGAAACGCAAAAGTAAGGAGTCACATGACGTATAAATGATCTCTATTTCTAGTCTATCCTCTCTTGCTATTCGGATCGCTATGTCTATTCTATCCTCTATTGCTATTAGGATCACCATTTCTACTCTATCTTCTTTTACTATACGAACCACTATTCTCTATAATATTTCACTATACGTTGACATCACAAAAAATAGAAAATCTACCAAGAAAGGTGAAATGTTGCAAGAACATGAACACAAAGCTACTGTGGATGATCTAGCAATTAAAGCATTTTCTATACACTTTCGTCTTAGTAAATTGCTTTGTCTTTTAATTAAAGCAGCAGTTTTAAATCGAAACTATGGTCAGATATTAAGATGATGATAGTAGTGTGATAAAAGAACTTACCAGATTCTTTGATTTCTGAAAGGATAAAATATAAATATAAATTAAAATATGGATAAAAAATTAAATTGAAAACAATTATTTGTCAAACAAAACAAAAATGAACAATAATACTAATTTCGGGCGAGGAAAATTTAACAAAAACCCTATTTCCTAAGAGCTAGTGTTGCCCACTTCCGCTGAAAAGGCCACAATTAGCCGTTTTCTTTGTCTACCGACATCGGTTAGTAAAAATGTTACCGCACTCTTCCAGGTAGAAAACTCTCAACTGTGTGATTTATGGGTGTTTTACATGCCCACCCGTCTCAAATCAATCTACAGTCTTTAAATAGTATACGGAATTTGACTGAGACATTCCAGAAATACTGCTGCTTGTTCCGTCGCTGGCCGAAGCCATCGCTGTTGATGGAAGCGCCTTGGTGTCGCTGTTGATGGCCCGGCCAGTCGTTTACACTGCTGTGTTCGGTTTTAAGCTCACCTGTCGGAGTTCGTCGCCTTTACCAGCCGCGGATGAAATCAGCGTTGGCTTTATCATGAGAGAGTGGCTCAGAAACGATTACTGCGAAAACTGCGACAGCCTTTTTACTGATTGGTCGGAAAATATGTTTTATGACCTTAGTATTTTATAAGTTTTATTTGCACGGAAAATTACCAGTTTTATTCTTCTTATATTCATGACGTTACTGTATTGAATAGAAAATAACTCATATAAATTTATATATAAAAATATGTCTCAATATTTGAAGAATGGTTTATATTGTTTTAAATGAAATTTATTGTATCGTATAGGTAATTTTGCGCCTCACTGTCTATTTACGAGGTGGTGCTGAAAAATTCTCTGCCCAAACAAGAAGGCACCCTTCCCATAAAATAACTTCGTTTTCGTTTGTAGGGGGCCGTGGCTGTGATGTTGTGGAGTCAGACGTAGAAGAAACGCATGTAAGGTTCAGATTCTCCTGCTCGACGGGCCCAACTACATAAAAAGGTTGGACTTTGATTAAGTCCAAAGAAGAAAGGCAAAGAAAGCAAACAAAACACAAGACCGATAATATATGTATATACAAATATATATTAATAAACAGGTTACACGAAAACAGTTACAAAAGACAAAGTGTGTGAGTGTGAATATTCTGTATGTGCGTGTGTGTGTGTGTGTGTATGTGCTTAGCGTGTTCCCAGCATTTTGGGGAAACGCTATCTCTGGTGAGCGTTCACATTTTTGAGGTGGAAGCCTGAGGAAAAAGAGAGATTTACCTCAAGGTGTCGGCGCACAGGCCTGAAGGAAAAAGAGAGAGAGGCGAAGGGTCCACGGCTATTTATAGCAGCGAAGAGCGACCCCTGGTGAAAGGGTTAATGTACTAAAGGAGGAGTTAACTCCGACACGCTTAAAACCTTTGCACGCACTTAATAAATGTCAAAATCATTTGTTTGCACACATCTTAATGTGAAAAAAGCGTTTCTTTAAAAAGTAGATTTTTTTCTTTACCTGATGAACTAGCCATCTGGACATCTGTATCACCATTCGAATCTGAAATATATTCAGTTAAAATGCATTTAGATCCCGTTTCATAGCTTCCACATACAACTTATTCAAATGCATAAAATATAAATCAAACAGTCAGTAAGTGAATGACAACTGAGAGAACCTCAACACGTTTCATTCTGAGAAGAAACTTCTTCAGTCTAATAATATTTATTAATGAAAAATACATTGAATATGTTCAACTGTTCGGGCAAGATGGACGGCTGATCATCATCTGTCCTATCTTTAAGTTAGTCACAATCACTGACCAAATCATTTGATAATAATCCATTCACAAAAAAAAAAACGTCAACTTCTTACCAACCATTCTTACTACAGTTTATCAATGAAATCGTCACTAGTCGATATATTGTTGTGAGTGGGGACAATAAAAATAATAACTTTAAAAAACCTAACCCAAGTGTGTTTTAACAATGTATGAAAAAATGCTATTTAGTGAAACCAAAAAATACGACAGAGTTAGTAATAGAATTTCTCCATATATACACCGTTGCAATAAGGTTTTCATTGATGGAATCCGTTTTATATATAAACGAGCTTAAAAGCCGAACTCCGTGCGAAATTTTAAGCTAGCTCCGGCTCCGAATTCCGCAATCTATACTAGCGTGAATTATGCACCTAACCGATGACCCGATAATTTCCGCATTCGTTCAATTTTCCCGCTTTCAAGCTCTCATCATCCAATCGAAAAAAAATTTTTTTCTCTTCTCTTGCCAGATATGATCAACTACGCATCAGTGAAAACGTTCTAATGACAAATTCAAAAATGCAATTCTCCGAAGAAAATTTGCAATGTTAATGATAACGTTTAAAATCTATGTACTCGTGCGCTCATAGCTGGACAAAACTTTACAACGTCCGAAATTATCTAGAACAGTGTTTTTTAACCTATAATTCTCCGGGGTTCATGATCAGGTATTTGAGTTCCTGGCACCCTGTCTGTTAACATTGCACTGGAAAAGGAGGTACACTTAACACAACAAAAATAATACCACGTGTTATATGTACTGCTGAACTGTAACAACGTTATTCACCAGAATTTAAGTTAAGCTATGTGGTTACTATGTCGGATCATCGAAACTGCCGAACTTAAACCTTCAGGGTTTTTTTCTCCATGCATATATTGCAATTTCAACAAATGTTTAAAATATTTACATTGTTCGGGCAATTGTCCTCATCTTTATTGTCATATTCACGATGTTTCAGCCGTTGTACGCTCTGGCCATCTTCAGGTGATATACGTTGGAATTTTGAACTCTTTATTTCGTCCACCGGGCAGACTGTTCTAGTTCCACGTGCCATGCCTTTTCTGGATATCTCAGTTTCAGTTATTTCCATTTAGTAACTCAACTCTCCAAGTTTTTGTGCACTTCTGTTCTGGCCAGGTATTGAACTCACAAGCCTTTGGGTAAAGTCACTTGATTATTTCAACCAATGCTTTTATCCGCTGGGCTATGTGACTTTAGGTGGACGAAATAAAGGGTTCGTTTCGAAATTCCAACGTATATGATCTGAAGAAAGCCGGAGCGTACAACGGCCGATATGTCGTGTATATGACAATAAAGATGAGAACAACAGTCCGAACAATGTAAATATTGTAAATAGTAACTGTTGTGGGGGCTCTCCCCTTTTTACATAAGATGGACAGGCCCAAAGTATACTTATACGGACAGAGAGAATACCTGCTGTTGAGATCCGTCGATATACAGTCTCTGACTGTGTGCGACGTCTGTCGAACTCTCTGCTTTGGCAGAGAGGGACTTGGATGAAGCTTTGCCGAAGAGCAAGGTTTCGTCTGGGGAGGTAGACAGGCCCTGAACCCGTCTAGGCGGGTTCAAAGGGTATATTTTTGGCCGAGCCTACGGGCTCGGAGAAACCTACTATAAACTCAGCCTTGTGCCACATATATTCCTCGTGGGTGGGATATTAAATACCGAGAAACGTCGAGATACAGTCTCTGACTGTGTGCGACGTCTGTCGAACTCTCTGCTTTGGCAGAGAGTAACCCGGGCGAAGCTTTGCCGTATAGCAAAGTTTCGTCCGAGGAGGTAGACAGTTCCCGAACCCGCAGGTTCAAAGGGGATATTTTTTGGCTGAGCCTACGGTCTCGAAGAAACCCACTTTAAACTCAGCCTTGTGCCACATATATTTCTCGTGGGTGGAATGTTAAATATCGAGATACATTGAGATACAGTCTGTCGAACTCTCTGCTTTGGCAGAGAGGAACCTGGATGAGGCTTTGCCGAAGGGCAAAGTTTCGTCCGGGGAGGTAGACAGTTCCCGAACACGCTTATGCTAGTTCAATGAGGTTATTTTTTGGCTGAACCTACGTTAAACTCGGCCTTGTGCCACATACATTCCTCGTGGGTGTACTGTTACTAATCGAGATACGTTGAGATACGTGGAGATACCTTGAGATACGTGGAGATACGTTGAAACAGGTTGAGAGATACGGAGACACACACAGGGTGTTCTCAGAGAGTTATACAAAAGTCCAGAGAGAGAGAGAGAGGGAGAGAGAGATGATTACGGCTTTACTTACAGAGACTTGTACATATACTTTCTACTAATCCGCATTCATGGACTACTAATCTTCACTTCAAGTCTGTATTTTTACATTTAATACACTTATTTTTCTATCTCAATTACTGGCGTTGTTTATTTATTTGTGCAGGATTCCATTCACGGAATCCACAACAGTAACAATACCTCATCTCAGAGTTATAGATAGAAATGTTTAAAATATGTCTAAAAATGTAAATATGTAGACAAAAGAGATAAACAAATGCATGTATAAAATACCTAATTGTTGTAGAGTAGTCTCACAGTGGAGGCTTGTATTTGTACTAAGTCGGTCCTAAAATAGGTTCGACGTACAAAACGTTAGGAAATTGATATAATAGGTAATGACGCAGAGAAATCTACTTGTAGTCGCTGATACTTTAATATCCGACTAACGGTCGTCCGACATCGACTGACTGACCAACTCCCTGAGCGACTTTGCGACTATTACTACTACTACTACTATTTATTATAGGTGGGAGAGTCTATTAACTATAGAATAGGCGTGTTACACTATAATACTAATTGAGTTTTAAAAGTTTAGATCTGCTTGTTGAAATCTCAGTGCTCCCTGTCGTAATGCCCCTGAAAAGTTATTGCCCCCTTAAGAATTCACAGCGTCTCCAAAAAATGTTTTGAATCGCGGATCGAGAATCTTGTTAAGCACAGGTTAAGTCATATCAAGAGTCCGGTAATCAATTAGGGTCGTAAGGGCACTATGCATACTGCAGCAATAGCAGTAGTTGTGTGTCTAAGGTATGACAACCTGAATCAGCTCACAGGTACTTGTCTTTAAATTCACTACAGCCACATACATTTTAGCTTCAATCAATTATCTAGAACTTTAACTCATCAGATTTTCCATGCTTTTATCCATTTCTCAAAAAAAAAATTATTAGTAAATTTCTTGCCGCCACAGTACAATGATAAGAAATCGACATATTAGTTTAATTCTAAAGATGTTAGGTTATTAGCATCATGTGTCAAAACTCAAGTCGAAGCAATAAATGTAAGTAGTATTGTTAATATTGATTAAGACGTTACCGCTTTAAAGCATAAGCAAACATGTCTTACAAGATATGAATATTATTACATATTAGCAAAAAATCTGTCAAAATTCACAGGAATATTTGAATCATGATGGATACATCTACTAACGCGTATCTGTGCAATCTGCTTCGTATAAGAATGTAGTAACTGTGGTCTATGTAAAACGTATTACATAGACACACAATATGAGGTGAAATTAGGGATTATATTCGATAGAATAATTGAATAAGGAAAAAATATAATTTGACTGGCTGTTTCATGCTAGACGCAATCGTCAGGCGGCCTGACAATTGTGTCCAGCTAGAAACAAGCTGTCACCTCTGAGTGTTGACTTCGATGTTCACTTTTATATTTATATTTACGTAAATTTATATTCATGTAAATACACATAAATATAGCACACCTTAAATCTATATTTCTTATATATATATATATATATATATATATATATATATATATATATATATTCTTTATTATAAATTTACTAATTCAAATATATAGTTTCATCGCTACACAGGAATTACCATGTAAACAGAAACTAAAAACTTCAAATTCAATTATATATATGCAAGTTTCATTAAAGTTTTTATATAATTTTTCATGTGCTCGTATTTTTTTCTTTTCAGAACATAAATTATATAAAAAAAATTTCGAATAAAAATATAACCATAGCACCTTGTAAGGCATTTTAACGAAATTTGCAGAAAACAGGGATTGCTGACCAAATACATTATATATATAAATATTCATCTCTTCAGAAATGAAATCAATTTGTCCAGAATAAAGGAAAAAGAAAAAGTAAAAAGAAAAAGGAATATTTTTAAATAAAAAAGAAAGGAAAATAAAATGTCAATATAAAATTTGAAAAAACAATTTCTTCCCTAATTAATTTTTTAAAATTATTTTTCTTCCTTTTTTTTATTTAATTTTTTCCTTTTTCTTTCTTCTTTCCTTTCCCTTTCATCTTGAATTTTTTTATATATATATCCACTAAATTATGAATTTAAAACTCAGTAAATTTTAAAAATAAGTTACTCCAAAATTCGCTTGAGGATGAAATGGAACTAAAGATTTTAATTACAAAATTCAATTCGAAGGTGCCAGCTTCCATTTTTGAAACATGGTTAATACTGTGTAGCGAAAAAACAGATTTTAAATCAGTTCATTTATAATATTAATGCTCTGTAAATTTACATTGAGTCCTATTTTGTAAAAATACCAATAAGAAGACCGGATTATATATCCTACCGTTCTTTTTTTTATTTATATATACATATATTATATATATAATTGTTTTCATATCTAGAAGTAAACGCTTCTACCACCAACTTAACTTTAATATTGGAATTGTTTCATTTATCTTTTTCATTAAAAAGAATTTGTACTTAAAATAATGAAATTGAGAAATGTTAATTTTTGTTACTGACTTCTATGTAAAGCAATTAATACAAACAGCAATAAGTTTTTTTATATGGAAAATAAATTTTGACTTCAATGCAACTGCTGAAAAAACGCAAGCTTTTGTATTCAGAAAAATATTTTGGATACTTACACCTCTCAAGCACTGAAAAAGAAAGAAGTCATGCTGAATTAAACAAAATTATGTTTTATATGTGAGTATTCTTAGAAAGGTGGCATCCATTTCTTTAATAAAATAATTATTTATGAATGAGGTTACAAATCTATGACCATTATTGTCCTTACGGATCAGCACTCATTATTACAATATTTCATCAAGTACATTTGCAGAAACTAACAAATATGTAAGATGATGCATTATTTTTAAATGTGGATGACGTAATTATACTTTGATCGATATCGAAGACGTAATTATACTTTGAATTATATCGAAGACGTAATTATAACTTTGAATTATATGGAATATTGCCTGAACTATATTGAAGAGGTAATTATAGTTTGATTGATATCGAAGACGTAATTATTACTTTAAACTATATCGAAAGTGTAATTATAAGTTTGAACTATATTGAAGACGTAATTATTATTTGAACTATGTCGAAGACGTAATTATTACTTTGAACAATATCGAAGACGTAATTATACCCACTTTCATTGCCCACTTTCAATCTCAGCTCGTCGGCAAACTGGATCTTAAATGCCTTTGCTACTGTTAAAATATCATCGTCAGTCAGCTCTTCCATAGTTTTGTAACTATTATCGACAAAGACCTGTATTTTACCAATTTCACCATTAAAACGGATCTACAAAAATAATTTAAAAAAGAAAATTATATTTCAATGATGATAACAAAATGATTAGTTAGTCCTTAGGGAAAAAAGTAATTGACAAGTACACGCTAAAGTATATACATTTTTAAAAAACGCATATAGCAAAGTATGAGGGTCGTCTGAAAATGTTATAAGCTCATTTTATATTTTTAACAGAATGTTAGCAATATTCAACATGCATTTTTTTTTTAAATACACGCAAATAATTATTTTAAAATGTTTTAAGTCATTGTTTGCTGATATGAAGAATAATATCGTAGAAAAATATTAAGTTAAATTTTTCTGCAATTTTTTTCAAACGTGCAAATTTCTGCATAGTGCTTTGGGAAAATTAGTATTGCACAAGATTACATTCATTTTTGTTTCCTTACAAGAACGGTATAAACATACTTCACGTGTTATAAAGGAAACACAAATTATTCACTAAAAACTGAATTTTATAATTTATTGTTGTAAAAAATTTTAAACAAAATTAACTAGTTTAATATTTTTACAGTATATTCTATAAAAAAATATGCTGTAAATATATTAATCTGGTTAATTTTGTTTATTGTATTATATGGGGAAGGAGGTAATACACACAACCATACCACCTCTCAGTAAAAATTTTGATGAGGGACGTTCAATTTGCTATGTAACTTCAACATAAAACGGACCCTAACCATTGCAACAATTTGGAAATCATTTGAAAAAATCTATACTTCTTCGAACCTGGCGCTACAGAATCACAAAGAACTGTACTAAATAACAGAAAGCATATCACTTCAGGACTTTTAACTAAGAAATAGACAATATATCCCTAGACATGAGCAGTGGAACGAGAACAGATTAAATAAAGGGTTCAGTTCGAAATAACATGTCAGTGACTCGGATCGACATACTACTGATGAAAGCTGAACGACATAACGGTCGAAACGTTCTGACAACAACAAATATAATAATTGTAAATAATATTTTACAAATTTGCTTATACATTTACTATATATAATGTGTGTGTTTGTATGTGTGTGAACAAATATTTTCTTTCTTACTTTAATAATAACATAACATAATAAATAAAATATAATCTAAGTAATAATACAAATCAAACATAAAATGATGTTCTAATTAAAAAAAAAAAAGTAATGCTAAATATTACGCGGCCGCTGACGTAAACAACTAGAATCTCGAATATGATAGAAAGAAATTTTTTTAAAAAAAATGTAAAAAAAGAAAAAAAAATACTTTGGTCTTTCCTCTTATTAATAACAAATTTTTCACGATAAAACTTTGTATTCAGTTTGGGCCCTTTTTTCAACATGCTATCCTGTTTTTTTTTTTTTTGTTTTTTTGTTTTGTTTGTTTGTTTTTTCTTTCTTTTTTTTGTGAGTTATTGAACATACCTATGTTTAATAGTTCACCTTTGTTTTCCTTTTCTTCATTTTTTTGCACCGTCAACTGGGGAAACACTACTAAATTATGACGAATGTAATTTCCTATATAATTTCCCAGTTACTCACAAACTGTAATCTGTTTAAAAATTTACAAAACTCCTCTTAGTAAAGCAAATATATTAAAGCGTCAAAATGAAGCCAAAAAACTACATGGAAATTGATTTTTCTACAATAAATGTCACCGATAAATCTGTGGTGGGTGTAAAGAAACAAATATTTAAATAATATTTAAGTAATACGGAACGTGAAATAGTATAAATGTTGTGCTACAGAAGGATACTAGGAATACTATGGGCGAAGAGTGTAAGCATCAACCTGAATATTTTAAACAATTTGAAGCAAAATTTAAAGGTAATTTCAAAATGTTTTGTTAAAGTTATTGAATTTATTATAAAAACTGCAGTCTGAAGTTATTATGTAGATTAAACTAGCATTAGTTTAATGCCACTGAAATCAATAAAACTATATGTTGAAACATGTGTAAGAGAATCTAAAAATGCCGAGAAAAAGAAAATGACAAAGTTATTGAGTAGGAGGGGATATCCACATTGGAGATAGAAAAGAAGCTTTACAGAGATCATGAAGGCTAATGATAATATAACTAAGTTGAAAACTAGATTCAAAGGGAAAAGTCTAAGAACTTGTCTCCTACAAGGGAACGTAAACTAAAACAAGTTATAAAACGAAATTACCACTTTTTACCAATGTTCAGAACTTTGAACAGGTTGGAATTGAGGGAATTCAAGAAGGACAAAAACTGCAGAATACTTCCCAAACTGTAATCTGTTTATAAATCTTTAAAACGAACACCTCTCAGTAAAGCAAATATATTAAAGCGTCAAAACTGGGCGAAGAAAATACATGGAAATTGACTTTTCTAAAATAATTGTCACGGATGAATCTCGAGTGAGTGTAAGATAAGATTCTTTAAATAATATGAAATGTGAAGTAGCAGAAATGCTGCTCTATAGAATGATACTGAGAATACCATGGCGGAGCGAGTAGGCAGCAAGAAAGTCTTAAAGAAAATAGCAATAGAAAGAACATTTATATTCAAAATTAAAAAAAAAAATGGCTGAAATAGAACGCAATGAACTACTTACCTAACAAGTTTATGGGAATGGATGGTGAAACGGGGAGAGGAGGGCCTTAGCAAAGTTGGAAACTGCTAAGAGTAACATGATATAGAAAGCTGTGGAGAGCCATGATCGCCTATGCCCTGAATTGAATCACCACACAGAAGAAGAATTTTTTTTTACTATATGGTAAGAGCATATTCAATCCATGAAAACCAATAAATTATTATAAAAAATAATTTTCCTTACCGTGCCATTAGAAGTCATGTTTATGTTGGTTCTACTTTACAAGGTATCCAAATAAACAAATAAAAAACTGTTGTAAGTTAGATAAGGTTACTTAATACTTAGGACACAAACAACAAAGATAAGATTCGCCAGAGGCAGGTATAGGTAGTCAAGTAAATACCACAATAAATCGTTAAATGCAGGTCCAATGCATTCAATATGGGAATGGAGATCTATCAATTATCATCAGTACATATATTACAACAAAAAGTGAAACTTTTTCTATAAATGAACAAGGGGAATTTAGAATTACCTTACTAAGAATTTATGTATATATTAATTTAAACAACTGAAAATTCCAAATTACCTCATGGTAAATCTATACAAATATATGTTTAATTGTCGGACTTAGTAGTGTGAGACGTCATTTCTTTACGTTAAGATACGCAGATATGGACGTTCGAGGGAAATCATGGGAAGATTGTACAGTATTTACATTAGTCGGACTATTGTCCTCATCTTTGTCGCCATATTTGTCACAACGTTTCGGCCGTTGTACGCTCCGGCCTTCTTCAGGTGGTTGGAATTTCGAACTGAACCCTTTATTTCGATCACTGGGGTAGACTGTTCTAATTCCACGTGCCATGTTTGATGGATGTCAGTTATCAGTTATCACCTGCTAATTTTCCCTCTGAAAGTTCTCCACTGCCTTAACCAGGAATTGAACTCACCTTCTTTGGGTCTGTCACTGGATCTAACCAACGCCTTTATCCACTGTGCCATGTGTCCTTGGGTATGAACTTCTGAGTATTATAAACCTAATGTTTTTTTTTCAGCATCATTTTTACCAGTGCTCATATTGCAATTTTTGCTGTTATCATTGCATGTCTTTACCAGAGTTCATATTGCAATTTTGTTATCATTGCTTTTCTCTGGCACTCCTTATTACTGGTTCCCATATTGTATTTATTTCTATGCTTGGTCGGCTCAGGAGATTTTTGTGCTGTGAGATGTGCTGATTCCTTAAGTTTACGAATTTTCCAATGGTGTTCCCTGTCTATGATCTCAACATGATCCCACAGGGGGCGGTGATCTCCCTTCTCTCTCCATATGTGGTCAGCCACGCCTGATTTTTTCTACTTCCCCTCGCGTTACAGCTTTCTGGTGTTCTTGAAGCCTTACCTTGAGGGGGGCGGCCTGTCTCTCCTTTATATTCCTTTCCGCAGCTGCATGGGATAGCGTACACACAGTCTTTAGTCATGTTCCTCTCTATGGGGGTCTCACTCGTGAGATACCTGCGAAGTGTTGTCACGCTTTTTGAAGGTTGTCCTGATGTTATATGGACCGCAGATCCTTTGTATTTTCTCTGATAACCCCTTCACATAAGGCAGGCAGACTGTTTTCTGAGTGTTGTTGTCCTCCTCCTCTTGTACCCGCCTATCCCAGTTTTGGGGGGCTGCTGCCATGTACCCAGGGTAGTTGTTGCGTTGTAGGGTACTACTTATACCGACCAATTCCTTATCTAACGTCTCTGGATCGCCACTTATGACTTTTGCTCGGTGTTGTAAGCATCGGACGATCCCTTTCTTTACGCTGTATGGATGGTGGGAGTTGAAATTGAGGTAATGTCCGGTGAATGTTGGTTTACGGTATACGGATGTCTTGAACCCATTCTCTGTTCGAGATATTAGTACATCCAGGAATGGGAGTGAGTTGTTACTCTCTTTCTCCATTGTGAACTGTATCGAAGGTCTTATTGAGTTCACATGGTCCAGAAGAACCTGGACTTCTTCCTGATGTGGCCAGAGTATGAAAGTGTCATCTACGTACCGTAACCATATAGTTGGCTTTAGCGATATAGACTCTAATGCCATTTCTTCAAAGTATTCCATGTATATATTCGCCATTGCTGGTGATAATGGCGGGCCCATTGCTAAGCCCTCATCCTGTCGATATATGTGAGATCCCATTCCGAAGTGTGTTGTTTGTGTACAGAAAGTCAACATCTCCATCAGATTATCTGTTGGAATACTGGTCCGCTCCTCTAGGGAAGAGTCAGAGGTTAATCTATCTCTGACTACTGAGAGTGCCTCCTCCGTGGGTACCTTGGTGAACAGACTCACCACGTCCAAGCTCACCATCTGGTTGGATAGGATGGGAGCATCTTTGATTATTTCCACGAAGTGGGCGGAGTTTCGGACATATGAAGGAAACTTTCCGATCAATGGGTCAATTATATCTACAAGGAAGCGACTCAGAGGGTGGCACACAGAGCCTTGGCAACTAACAATCGGCCTGAGTGGAATACCGTCTTTGTGAATCTTAGGGAGACCGTATATGTGAGGTAACTTGCTGTAACGCTGCGATAACTGCCTATACGTCTTGGGTGCGAAGTGATCCTTGTTCTTGATTAGGATCTGTGACAGTTTGCGTTCCGTTTTCATAGTAGGATCTTTCTTCACTATGCTGTAGCTACCATTGCTAATGAGGTCTTCCAGTTTTCTTGTATACTCCGATTTGTCCATCACTACAGTCGCATTACCTTTGTCAGCCGTAGTATGATGATGTTCTCATTCCTCTGTAGTGATTCAATCGCCAGTCTCTCCAGTTTTGTTATGTTAGACCTGGGCAGCTTGGCTCTCTCAAGGCCTGTCTCACTTTCCATCTCATTTCATCCGCCTGAGCCTGAGGGATGTTCAAGGCCACCTCCTCTACTCTGGCAATGATGTCCAAGTATGGCACCCGCCTGATGGTTGTGGCGAAGTTGATACCCCTATTCAATACTGACTCCTCAGAGGCACTCAGCTGATATTGGCTGATGTTGACTACTGCTTTCACTGGTGGGTGATGGACCTTGTGCGTCACCTTCTGATCTTTCAATCTATTTAATTTTTGCACTTGGCGAGCCTTGACTACATCAAATTCATGTCTGAAGGATTTATCCAGGTCATTTTGGATCCTTCTCTGGTCTTCTTCATTGGTAATTCTGTTGAAGAGATCCTCGAGCGTCTGGGAGATATGAATACTGTACACAATACCTCATCTCAGAAATATAGACAAACTCGGGAAGATTGTAGTTTTTAAAAAGTTGTAAAATCGACTTTGATAACCAGGAACTCCTTTGTAGCTAAACTGTTATAGCACATCAGGCTATATGACGGTTCCGTGTAAGCTACAGGTTCGATTCCTGTTCGTGAACGCATATTTTCTATGAAATTTCTCAAACATTCAGTAAATGTTGTTAATACTGTTTATTATAATCAGAGCCTTTACTTAGATATTTGTGTATATATAAATAACGTATAACAATAATATATATATATATATTTACTTATTTATACATATATATATATATATACATACACACACAAAGATTTATTATTAAATATAACAGACAACGAATGTCTATTATGTTTGATCATGAGCCGTTCTAAGCTTCGGATAGTGGCCTTAGTTCCGGAAGAAAATAAAGACAAAACAATCCAACATTTGGATATTTTTTATTATGTTGTTATGAATAAAAAGAGACAAGAGGAAAAACTATTCATAGCCAATCTTGGACGTTCTTAAATTTAAAATCCTTGATAAACCAACGACTCCCTTGCTCTTGTATATAAACCCATTAAAAAAATAAATCTTATTTTGCCTTGATAAAGACCCTTCAAGAACGAAAGACCAAGGATAAGTTTTCTTCTCTTTATATATATATATATATATATATATATATATAAAGAAAGAAGTAGATATATATAATCCGGTGTTCTTATTGATATTTTTATTTTTACAAAATAGTGCTCAATGTAAATTTACAGAGCATTAATATTATGAATTAACAGATTTGAAATATGTTTTTTTTCGCTACACAGTAATAACCATGTTTCAAAAATGGAAGCTAATAGCTTCGAATTTAATTTTGTAATTAAATTAAAAACATTAGTTCCATTTCATCATCAAGCGAATTTTGGAGTAACTTATTTTTTAAATTTACTGAGTTTTAAAGGCACAGAAAAATTCATAATTCACTGTTTCCAAGGATACAGAGAGATCCAATCATTCAGACAAGGCGTGGTACCGTGTTCATTTTTATTAACTTTTGTTGTATCAGTTATTAGTTACGTTCGAAAAAGAGGTTATGCTTAGTTAGGGTAGGAATGTATTTTTCAACGAATTCTGACATCCGTTAAATGCATGTCGTCTGGGTTTTTTTTTTTTAATTTTATTGTTAACGGCAAAAAATTCTTACAGCATTTTTTCTATTTGTATACTTTTAATTTTAAAATATTTTGACTTTTAATTTTTAATAGACTATATTTTTTATATGCATGTATGTATGTACAGTAATGTTTTTGTTGCTAGAATCATACATGCGTACGAAAGGGAAAAGGAATATAAAAACATAAACCAATGTTAAAAATGTCGGAAAGCTGAAATTTAAAACTTTTAAATTTAATTTTTTTAGATATATCTGCATATATAGTCTAACCATGTTTGTTTAGTTTCTTTATACTATTTTTTTTTTGTTATTTTTATCACTTTAGTATCGCACATTATGATAATAGAAGATCTGCCACCTGGATGTATATTAACTGTGGATGCTCCAGCCATTAAAGCACTTTCTATACAATTTCGCCTTATTAAATTTTTATAACCCCAGACACCCCCACACCAAAATGTAAAAATTTAAAAGTTTTAAATTTCAGCGTTCCAACAATTTCAGTGTTTCCTAATGCCTTATTATAACCAAAGTTTGCTTCTTACGAATATATAAATTGATCAACCAGAACTTGGTCGAAATACACAAAAAGGTGTCACGTAATAATAAATTTCCATTTTATCATTAATTTTCCTAAAATATTTCTGTTGTAAAAAGTTATGCCTTTTCTCATGTATATATATATATATATATATATATATATATATATATATATATATATATATATATAATGGTTTATAAGGTTTTTGGTATGAGGAAGTTGTTGGTAAGGTGGAAAATTTAAAAAAAAAAAAGTAAAACCGTACAACGATCACAACCATATTTA